ATGCAGTATTATTTTAGAGACAGTCTTACAATTTGATTCCTCTGTCCTGCGTTTTTTGGTCTGCCCTACCTGTTGGCTACCTAGTTAAAATCTCTTTCTTAAGAGATGCATCACTTCTGTTTCTAGGACCAGGAGAAGGCCTATTCACATATATTTCACTGGAGTTCTCAAGATAGAGGTGTACTTGAGTTGTACAGGAATATGTACCCCTTTAATAGGGTAACATCTTTATGTAGAAGGTAAGTATCTTTTCCTGTTACTAGATTTAGATTCCAAACTAGTTTTTTCCCCAGTATACATTGTAAAGTTACTAAGGATGTCTCAGAAATAGCTCAGAGGTTTAAAGATTATCCCTGTGTACTGGAAAGATAACCGTGATAGACTCCAGGGGCTAGCACGTTTTGTGCCTTTGAGAGAGCACAGTGACTCAGATGATAAACACAAGTTTTCAAGGATATTGCCTCAAATCATAAAGTTCAGAGTAGACAGACCGTTAATCCACTCACCACCCTGAGTAATCAAGGTCTGGTTGACAGGTGTGAGCCTCCCCTCAGTGCTTCACATCTGAAATGTCATAGCTTTCAGAAAATAAAATTGATGTGTAGCCACAGCCCCAAAAGATGCACTGGGGAGAGGAGTGGTGGGTGACTGATTTATATCTTGGTAACTTTCAACCCTTTCACTAACTGTGTAGTTCAGAGCATATTGAGGAGAACTGAATCTCACTCCAGCAAAACTCTAGTGCTTCCAACTCAGCAGGCATTTATTTATCCAGGTAAATCCCTAGAATCACTAGATATCAAACCTTTGAATTCAAGAGAATGAGGAAAATGGTTTTAACAACTGTGCCCACTGCAGTTCCTAATAAACGTTCAGTGTCTATCCTCAGCAATGCCCAAATTGCCTGAGATAGCTAAATAAGTCCACATGTAGCATACTCTAAAAGCCCCTTTTAAATCCTGAACTTAAATAACTTTACCTTATGTAGACAATTACTGAAGTAATATTGACCAATACATCAAAGCAGGGGTTTTCAGCTAGGGCTATGCGAAGCTTCGGTCCCTGATTCGATTTGGCAGAGATTCGGCCCGATTCGGTGGCCAAACCTCTGAATCTGAATCAAATCAGAGGACCCTTTAATGTCTCCAAATCGAATTGGAACTCTTTGAATCAATTCAGCGAGATTCAGAAAGATTCAGCTATTCAGACATAGACACAGCTTTAAAAGCTTTTTTTTTTTTTTTTTTACATACCTCTAGATAGCAGGTGACTTGTGGATGCTGAGATGCTGGTTCACACGGAGCGTCCCACATAAGCGCAGGGTGCTCCCCAGCGCACTCGGCAGCAGCCCCTTAAGTGCTTCTGATCCACTCCTGGGTCTGCCGGAGAGCACTCAGGGGGCTCCCCCGTGCCCTCAAAGCTCGGTGACTGGTGCCTTCTGGGTTTGGGGGGGCACCCAGGGTCCCCCCCATGGCTGATTGTTGAGCCGGGGAGGTGGGCATGGCAGAGGGGGGGCCCACACGCTCCCCAATGGACCCAGAAGTGGACTAGAAATACTTCCGGTCCACTTCCGGGTTCGCTGCTGAGCACACAGGGGTCCCCCCTGCACTCCTGTGAGATGCTCCATGTGCCCCAGCATCGCAGCGTTCATGAGCCGTGCCTGGTACCTATGTCCGAATTGCTGATTCTCCGAATCAGCATCCAGTCTTCAGATTTGGATTTGGACAGTGATCTGAATCAACAAATCAAATCCCTGTCCCCGATTCAGGCTGAATCCGAATCAAATAAGGCCCATTTCGCACACCCCTATTTTCAACCTATTTTAAGGTGAGTACTCCTCCTGGTGGGTACCCCCTTCCAGATGTGGAGCCGGGGGAGGGGGGGAGAGGGGTGTTCCACAGTCACCAGTTCGGGTGAGGGTATCCCCTGGCCACCGAATGTGAAGCGGCAAAGTCAGTGCTTCCGAAGTCCCCCTGCTTCTCTGCACCACCATCGTGTATCCCTTGGGGCCTTCCCAAGTACCACCAGGGGTACACATACCCCTGATTGACAACCCCTGTTTTAAAGGGCAGCTGTTGTACAAGAGGTTTTCAGTGTGGACTGTATATCAGATCTTTGAATAACTCCAAATCAGAATTTGGGATGCTCACTTGTGAATCATTTGAAATGTGGATAAGATTGGTAATATACTCTAAACCAGAGGCTGGTAGTTCTGCTCCTACAGTTCCTTGTAATACCGTTCCTCTGCATCAAGAACCTTTGGATTATAAATAGTTTTTAGCAACTATTAAATTAATCCTGTATAGTCTTTTACCTCCTTATAACAAAAGCTCTGACTTTTTTCCCTTCATTTATATTTTGTTAGCAGGAATTATATGGCTTAAATTTAAAACATAGAAACAGAGTTATTAAAAGATATATATATATATGTTATATCTTTGGTGAAATGTCAGTGTTTGCATGAGCCATGTCTTAGTAGCAAAGTGAAGATTTCCTGGCTAATAAATGGGGAATTTAAACTCAAGAGCAAATCTATTAAGTTTATCTTGTAGCATTGCTAAAACTTGTCATTTGGAGAACAGTTATGTAAAATAATTCTAAAGGTCAGAATAGCTTAGATGAGGCCTAGTTAAAAAGCATGAATTCAGAAATGTTTACTGTTTCTCCAGAATAACTTGACTGGGGTTGTGAGAGGAGGGTGAGGACCTTAACAAGTACATTCTTTAAATTCTTATACACGTTTTTCTCCAAACATAAGACCCATTGTACTCTGTGTATAAAAAACAAGTAAATGAGAAGTAGAATAAAAGCCTTTGAGGTCAAATTCTCAAATGGTCTAAATTGGCATAACTGTTGAACTCGGAGAATTTATGTCAGTATGCACCAGCTAAGGAGCCTTCCCTTGATTTCTAAACAATTCATTAATGCTTTTGCTATCATATCTTACACAAAATAGTTAGAGTTAACTGTTGGGTGTTTCAGATTCTGTTTAACTTTCAAGAATAATGGTACTCCAGGGGTAAATTTCTAAGTGATTCAGGGGAACTGTCAGTGTCAATGAGAAATGCATAGCTAAATGCCTAAATGCTGTTATGAGAATGTTTTTCATTTAAATAATGCCATAAAATAATGTTTGGCAGTTGAAAGTATGAAGTCTTGTTTCTGGAGTGTTTGTAGAAATGAGTCAGATAGCCGGTCACATAAAGATTCACAAGATCAAAGGAAGGATGTCTAACACCTTGTCTTGTCATGATATGTATAGATAGCCTTTTTATGGTTTACTAATGTATAACACTCCTCACAATTCTACTTTAGAGAGTCATGCAAGTGTGGAAAATGGTGATTAATTGACATGGCACTGGCAGTTTGAGAGCCAGGTTTTCCCAGGGCGCTGGGAATTAGCCAAGATATTGGTAAAATGTCCTAGTCTTTTTACATCTGTCACCACCAAACCTCTTCTGAAAAGTAGATTTCACTTGTTTATAAAATCCTAGAAAATAAATATTTTCTGTCTGTACATTCATTTCTACATGGCATATCATTTCCCCCATGCTTATCATTTTATAGAGGTTTTGTAAAACAAAGGGTATATTTATACTAGCCTACTAGCTGGCTGCAAAATGAGTCTGGGAAGCAGTGATCTCTCAGCTGGATGCTCCACACTGAATTCCAGTGATCTGTGATGGCTACACTGCTATCCTGAGCTAACTAGTGTAAAGCTCAGTTACCTCTACACGAACTGCAGTCACAGCAGTGACTGCTACAGAGATATGCCCAAAGGCAATTTTGACCTGGGTCATAAGATGATATGGTGACCAATGGAGTTCTTTCAGGATAAGAAGTTGGGTATCCGTGTATATTTGAGAAGAAAAGCAGGTAAACTGTTGAGAGTTTGGACTTGGAGCAGCTTTATGAACCAGAGGTAACAATCAGTCAGAAGAAAGGAAAGCCTGCAAGAGGGTTCTGCAGAAGAGCATGCGTCTGTGGGGAGGAAGACTAGCATACGAAACCAATGCTGCAGCAGCTGGAAAAAGCAAGTTTGCCCAAACAAATAATGGAAGAGGAGAATATATGGATGGACCCAAGGTTGTACACAGGGCGGGCCAGGGAGATTCCTGAATCATGTAGGGAAATAAAGGAAATCACATAGAGAAATAATATAATTGCCTTTATGTCCCCCAAAAGGCTAAACCAGGAGCTTCACATTACTAAGCATATACTGTTGTTTTTCCTAGTGCTGGTCTTCTCTTGATACTTGAAATCAGCACAGCAACTGTTAAAAAGTGGGCTTCCTCATCATCCTATGGATGTCAAATATATTAACTTCCTGTGCTAAAGAACACAGGACTCTGTGGACTTTATTATAACATAACAGAGCCAGAAAGTGGTGTCAAAAGTAAGCATTGCCTGGACTCTGCCCTCTCTTAAAGAAGAGAATATGTTATCTGTAGATTGCTGCCATGGAGTGTTAGTGTCTTTTTAAGACCCAGGAGAACCTAATTTACATCCTTTGAAGCGAATCCATGTTTTTGTGTTCTGTGCCCCGCTGCTCTCCACAGCAAAGCTGGAAGCCTTCATTCAGAAGCCTTGCTCACACCTGGAAAAATCAGAGGTATAGTTTGCTGCTAGCAAAACTCTGCCAGCAGTAAGAACTGGGCAAACCATTGTGGAGGGAAGAGAGCAACATTGTTGCTACTGGGGGAGCTGCATTCACTGAACATTACATGTCTGAATCTGTGCAGTGTAGAGATAGCTGAAAAGACCATGTCCCTCATTAAGTAACCTGTCAAATTATAAAGACTTTGCTAGGCCTCTTAATGTGAAGGTTTTTTACCGCATTCTTGCATGTCACCTCTTCTGCTAAGACTTTTAAGTGTTTTACTTTAGTTTGCTTTCTTTACTTTGGTGAGTTTTAGTATCCTCTCTCTTCCTGGAAACTGCTGTTGCTTTGTCTTCCCTCCATTCATATTCTTTTTTTCTTTCTTTTTTGCTGCATGGAGACTCTCTGCTGTACAAGTGTAAGTATTTTTTTAGCTCTGCTGTTTCTGGCCTACTTGTTTACATTTTTGTGCTTCATTTGCTTCTGTACTGCCTTGCTAGTCTCCTGGGAGATTGTAGTGTTATCCATCTGCAGTTACTGAAAGAAATAGGCAGCAATTTAGAAACAAGATTGCATTTTACAAGAAGAGTCAGCTAGCATAGCAGCTGATGAATTTAAAACACCTCTTAGCTGTAAGACCAAAATGAAGCAGAGTGTTGATGAAAGAGGTGCAAGCACAAATATTACTGCTCAAGAAAATCTGTTTCATTCAAGCCAAGTCCATCTTAGTGAAATGTTGGCTTAACATAAGTAAAAGTTGAGATTTTCCTGTCGTAAAAGTTTCAGGTGGCGAAAGACCTGTTAAGTCATCTTGTTTTGGTTGGCAGTTTTCCTTTTCTCTGTCCTTTTCCTCTTTTGTGAAGGCTGGTCTCTCAGTTTATTCCTACCTAGTTACCTTCAGACGTGGAAAATTCCTTTGCAGGTGTTCTGTCCTGGGTCTTTGGAAAGAGAGAGGGTCATTCAACAATCTTTTGTGGAACTAACACAATCAAATAAAATAACTTTTGAGGGAGACATATGTGGGAAAGATGGTAACATAGAATATTTTGGAAATTAATTCTTCTAGTCTGCACACCTCTGATTAAATAGATGACACGGTCCTCTGCTTAACATATTTAGTTTTCAAAAACCCAGAAAGCATCTGAGTATTGAAAATGTGGCTCTAATAACTGTTTGACTCCCAGATCCCAGGGTTCTTCCATGTATATTTGTATAATTATAAAGAAACTGTTAGGTGGATGTTCTCAGGAGATCCCAGAGACTACTCTTGGGAAGAAGGAAAGTCAGAAAGCAAGGAATCAAGGGAAGCGGCTACTTTATCTCATTTAAGATCATAGCATAGGACCCAGGAGTGTAGAGGTACATTGGATACAGAGTTGTCTGACCATTTAAAGACCATGAGCTAGTCCATGTTGGAGCATGTACCTGTGGGCCAGGAGTAAATGTAGTAGAGTGGAGATATCCCTCATAGGTAGAACCGTCCTTGATGTGTATCTGTTTTGTTTGTCCATTGATAGCATAACTGGCAAAATAAGGGAAGGGGGAATAGAGTTCAGCTGGTGATCTCCTTCGGGGAAGAATCTCTTGAAAACAGCATACTCAGGGTGAAGTGGAGGAAAGGAGAATGGAAGTAGAAATAGTGAATCTAAACACTAACCCACCTCAAGCATTAATCAGCTTCTGCCTTTGTCATTACAGTGTGAATGCTTTCAACTATTTCAGGATTGAACATAGTTGCACCTTGTCATTCAGATTTAGCTGGGGCAGTGGCAAAGAGGGTATGGGAAGGTGTTCGTTTGAAGCACTAAGAATTTCCAGGAAATTTGCAGTGCCAGAAAACCATTGTATAAAATGCACGTACAATTGTTCAAGTGCCCAGGCATGTGGAGCACCACAGAGTATAGCCTATACTACTAGTGCTCTGCAGCCAGGGGGTCTGCACAGAGTGATCCCAGGGTGCTTTGCTGTAGGGGTGCACCGATAGAGATTTTGGGGGGTGATACCGATAGCCGATTTTTAAGGAGGCATATCAGCAGATTCCGATCTGATTTCCAATACAGCTGCGTGCAGCTGGTAAGTCAGTTGTGGTGGGGGAGGGAGGGGAAGGGGCGTGGAGGGGCAGATCAGTGCCCCCTGCAGTGAGGGAGGGGGCAGGGGTAGGCACTGCCTAGCCAGGGTTGGGTGGGGCATGGGATGATCTAGTTGGGGATGGTCCTATCTTGAGCAGGGGGTTGGACTAAATGACCTCCTGAGGTCCCTTCCAACCCTAATTTTCTATGATTTTATTATT